GAAATAATGGCTAAGTCACCCAGCCCAGACTTTGCTCATTACCTTGCATCCTCCCCATCCCAATCCTAACACCAGGAGTGCCTCGGATGCCGGGCTCCTTTGGGACTTGCCTGATTACTCTGGAAAGAGGAAGATAGTACCAGCTCAAAAATCAGATAGATTTCTGATTTCTCATTACATGGTTAAAGGAGATTTCTTATTACAAAGTTAGGATTTCTTATTACAAGGTCAAAGGGGAAACCGTTACCTATTACAGTTGGACAACCACATAGATTTGATTTTAAAGATGGTGGCTGTGGAGACAAAAAACATTTCTGAGAACATAATTTTGTACAATTATGGTGAGATCTAGGATAAACCAAAAAATGTTGATCCTGAATTCTTGTAGCTGAAGAGATGTTCATGCTTTCGTTCATTTAAATATATTTAAGGAACAGCTACTTTGTCCTGTGTCGCATGCCAGGTACATTGGAGATTTGACTTCGAAAGAGATCCTGCTCATAAGAGGCTGGTAGTCAATCACCAGGCAGAAGAAATGTGTATGGCTGACTCTGACAGCGGATAGCCACCAGCAGGTTCATAGAGCACTGTGGGAGTTCAAGAGAGGGAGAGGTTCCCTTGGCTCCGTGATCCAAGGAAGCCTTGAAGAAAATGTGATCTGATCTGGGCCTTGAAGCTTTAGTAGAATGGCACACATGCAAGATGCAAGGAGGAAGAAAAGAAAATTCAGGCAGAAGGAGTCACAGGTGCAAAGACCAACCTGGGGAGCATGCATCAGAAGCTGTTAGCACAGTTCAGGGGACGGAATGGTGCCTGAAGTGAAGTAGCAGAGGAATACTGGGTATCAGGAGGTTTCAAAGTGTCTAACAATTTCAAAAACAGGATAACAAAACCTAGGGGCCGTCCTTATCCAGAAGTTGCTCTGCTTTGTGTCATGTGATCCTGTTACCCTGCCTGGAGGTGGCCCCTTTGCTTGGACCGCATCTCCTGTCTGCTTTCCTGTGACTGACGGCTCTCCATTGCCCCGGAGCCTCAGCTTGCCGGTAGGGAGCATTGTCTGGCCCGGGGTAGCTCGCCATCCCCGACAGAGTTAAGGCACCCCTCAGCCAGCCTCGCTCGTCTGTTTCAGTGTCTCTGTGTCCCAAACCTAAATTCTCACAGTTCGGATCTGTGGGACGGGCCTGAGTCAGGCGGACATTCCTGGTTTCATCTTGTGTGACTAGAGAGGATCATAACCCTCAAAAAATACAACAGCCTGGGGCCACCCCTTTACCTACTGTGCACGGTACAGGTAATTCCCAGAGAGAGAAATGACACCAGCAGCTATTTTTACCTCAAATAAGCATGTTTCTTCCATGTCACAAATGTCTACCAACATTTAAGACAATAAGGAAATGTGCAGTGAACTTTAGAAATTATGCCAGAAGTGGTAAAAAAAAAAAAAAATGTGAAGGTGTTAGCATTTACAGAGACCACTTGCAGTTCTATGAGAACTGCAAGGGGAACAGCTCACAGGGCTGCACTGCTAATGAATGAGATGTTTCACTCTCTTTGTATGACACGCCTGGTCTGAGATCCATCAAGCAATAATACACCTCATTTCTCTGCACCCTCCAATCTCCAGTAGTCTGTTAACTAGGAAAGCACAATCTTATATGCATCCAAATCGTTTGTAGTACGTAGAATATATCCTATGCACCCACTTACATAAATTTATCAGGATTCCTAAAAATATATTCACTGGCCAAGGACAGAGGTTTTTTTGTTTTTGCTTTTGTTTTTTAATTTGTCAGAGAGAGAGTAGAGGAGAGCACAAGCGGAGAGAGAAGGAGGGTCCCCGTTGAGCAAGGAGCCCAATGCAGGACTCGATCCCAGGACCCTGGAATCATGACCTGAGCCGAAGGCAGACGCTTAACCAACTGAGCGACTCGGGCGTCCCTTGAGTTTTATTTTTATAGTGTACATGGTCTGATGAACAGGATCAGTAGAGATGGGAATTTTACCAGGTAATGGTTTTAAAAAGACCCGCAAGTAGATATTTTTAAAATCTTTTCTAAAACACTACCAGAGTCCTCTATTCATACACAAAGTGTCTGATTATTTTAATATATTAGTGTTGACTGTAAGCTCCTTTCCCTGGGCAAGGACACAGGGCTCCAGACTGCTGTTACTTTCAGCTTGCTATCCTTTTACTATGACGAGCTTGCCCCAGCAGTTAACTGATTAACAAGACATACTGATTATTATATGTGTGTTTTACATTCTTATCACTCACACACACACACACACACACACACACACACACACACACACACACCCCAAATGGCCAAGATTCAAGCTTTTCATCCCCTATGAAGTATATGCCCAATATTTTTTAAAGATTTTATTTATTTATTTATGGGGGGGCACGAGCAGAGGAGAGGGGCAGAGGGAGAAGAAGAAGCAGGCTCCCCGCTGAACAGGGAGCAAGATGTGGGACTCCATCCCAGGACCTGGAGATCATAACCTGAACCGAAGGCAGATGCTTAACCGACTGAGCCACTCAGGCGCCCCTATGCCCAATTTTTATAGCTGTAACTTCACCACTGTATTTGACTCTGCCAATAGCCACAAACTTAAACATGATTCACACATACTCAGCAATAATTTGATGTGCTATTAGCCTGGTCTTTGTGATTCTTGAGATACAGTAGAACTTTCTGAAAAGGTTTTATTAAACGTCCAGGAATAAAGAAATGATCATAACCGGGCAAACTGAGGTTTGCCAGTATTTGCATATCTTACTCTGCTTACTCTGCATATCTTACCTCCTTGTGGACTTCCAGGTCAATCCGCACATGAGATTCTTCCAGTGCTCTGTGCTAGGCTGCCTCAAGCCTCTGGCTTGTTCTCTGGCCACCTAGAATGCTCTCCCTTCTATTCCCTCCCCTGGTTAACTCTGGGCTAATCTTGGCCTTGTCTTAAGTGGCCATTTTTCCAGGAGGCTGCCGTGATGAGCCTCTCACTACACAGACAACAATGGCCTTTTTATATTCACCGCTTGGTGTGCCCTTTTATTTCATATTTCAGAGGTGTGTTTTATTTTTCATATTTAAAAAGCCATTTGCTACTCAAAGGAATGGAAAGCAGGGTCTCAAAGAAATGCTTGCACATCTGTGTTCATAGCAGCATTATTCACGATAGCTGAAAGGCAGAAGCAACCTAGGTGTCCCTCAATAGGTGAACAGAGAAACAAAATGTGGTCTGCATACACAAAGGAATATTATTCAGCCTTAAAAAAGAAAGGAAATTAGGACAGATGGTATAATACAGTTGAACCTTGAGGACTTTATCTGAAGTGAAATAAGCCAGTCACAAGAAGACAAACTCTGTGACTATACTTACGTGAGATGTATATGGTGGTCAAATTTATAGAGACAAAAAGTAGAATGGTGGCTTCCAGGACCTAGAGAGGAGGGAGGGATGAGGAGTTATTGCTTAATGGGTACAGAGTGTCAGTCTGGGAAGATGAAAAATTCTAGGATGGATGATGGTGATAAGCGCCCAACGGGAATGGACCTCCCGCCACTGGAGTATACACCTAAAAATGAGCAACACAATAACTTTGACGTTATGTGTATTTCACCACAATTGGTTGATTAATTAATTAATTTAAAAGACTGTTCATTTATTTTTTAAAATTTTTAATTGTTATGTTAATCACCATACATTACATCATAAAAGGCTATTCATTTAATACTTATCTCCCCCTCTAGACCATAAGCTCTCTGAGGACAGGGACAATGTCTACTTTTTCACTGTTGTATTCCTGTGCTTAGCACATAGTATCCATACGTATTTTTTGGAAATTAGATAAATAAGTGAATGATTGGGCTAGGTCATCCCACTTTTTCAAGGGTACCAAATGTATCTGTGTTTCCCATGTGCTACCAACCCCACATGGGAAAAATGTCCACTTCACTCCATCATGCAAATTCCCATTTCTTGCCTCAGTCTCTGCCTCCACTCAGGATGCGTAATGAGGCACATACTCTCCTTCCCTGACCCATCCAGGGAATTCCCAGGAAGTGTGGTCTCATTCTCTGGACCCAGAAGGACAATCTTATCGGAATATGATATCAAACATTAGTACATTTCCCCAAACCTTAGTCATTTTGTTTGAAAATAACCCTACAGTTAGGACAAAAAGTTCCCCCAGGGGTAGCTGTGCTGAACTTGCCCACGCCATCAAGTGGTGAATAGTGTGGGGGTAAGTCATTTCTATAATCTTATCAATACGTACTCATCTGTCAGTCATTACTCTAGCCAAAACCTACAAGCCCCTAGGAACATGCCACAGATTGTAGCGTGGGGTACTCTACACTCACACAAAGCCGGAAACATTTATGTCCCCCATTTCCTCTCCTCTGAAAAATTCCAGAGCATTAAAAGAAAAAGTGAATATAGCTCTGACCCAGCCATATATTACAATTTACATGACCAAGCAAGACACCTATTTTCTTACACCGTTTTATTCCGGTTAATGACACTTTTGAACTTTGACTCAAAACTTGCTTAAAAACTGGTAATCAGATGGCATATTCTAACTAACCTTCTAGAACAAAGGGATAGTCTTTCCTAAGGAAATATTGATATTTCCAATTTTAATTAGGTATAAAATATGTAGCAAGTTTAAATGGTAGGTTGTATAGTTTTTACCCATCATGGTTGCAAAAATTTGGGGGTTTGACTTTTAACTGGGACACTCATTCCTTATACATACACCAGGTGAAGGAAAATGTTCCCTTTCTACCAAATCTGTACTCTTTTAAATATCCATTCAGTTCTTTTAAAAAGTATCAGCTCTATATCAGTTTCTTTATTAAAGGTATTATATATTTATTCAAGATAGTTCTTTAATATCTCTCTCCAATATTTAGTAATACCTCTTTCAAACCTGAATTTATATAGTGAAAGGAACCAGCAATGGAGAACAGGAAATTGTCAACCTCACGTTAGAGCTTATGGTAAAATCTTGAAAGCCAGTATCTTGAATCTCTAAACTTGGACGTTTTCTTGTTTTATTTCCTCCTCCAAAGGAAATACACTCACTGCCTTATTGTAGACATAAAACCAGAGGAGACAAATCCATCTCTTACTCCCACAGCTCTCCCAGACACTGAGTTCCCTCTGAATCAGACTCGGAGACCACCTCCAACAGGAGTGACCTAAGCAAACCCCGCCCAAATGTCATCATCAGGCATCCCACGATGACGATGACGTGGAGACTGTAAAAATTTTATCTCGTGCAAACTAGAGCCCTCAACATTAGAAGCCACTGAAATATAAAACTAAATATTCTATCTCTTTTGAAAAAACTCCGGGTAAACGGCATTACCTGTCCCCTGGCCTGATGACACCTCTTGTTGCGTTTTCCCCACCCTGCGGTGAGCACGTGGAAGGGGTGTGGCCAGCACACCTGTGCGAATTGGGGACTGCAGCAAAAACGGAGCCGTCGAGAGCTGTTCTTTTATAGCAGGCATCCCCAAAACTCAGAGAGCCATTCCGTGAGGCGGTGTTGCATGGAGGTAAAGTGCTGGTCCTGGAACCAGCGGGGGGCCTTCCCAAATACTCCACTTACTAGGCACCTGACCTTGAACAAGTGACAGTAGTGCCCCCTTATCCATGGTTTCACTTTCGGTGGTTTGTTACCTACAGCCCGGAAGCAGATGATCCTCCAGACACCGTGGGAAGATCAATAGCGGCCCACCACTACGTCCCAATGCCCACGTCATTCCCCTCACTTATCTTATCAAGCAGGCATTTTATCATCTCATCATCACAAGAGGGAGGGTGAGTACAGCACATTACGATATTCTGAGAGAGAAAGAGAGGGAGGAAGGGGTCACACTCACGTAACTTTTACTACAGTACATTGTTATAATTGTTCTATTTTATTATTATTGTTAATCTCTTACTGTGCCTAGCAGTAATCTGACTAGCAGGCAGATTTCTGAAGAGTACTCATTTCCTTGAGGTCTCTGCTCATTCAGTCCACTGCCCCCGCCATGGATGGGGGGTGGGGGGGGCAGTGGACTGCTCTATGTAATATCTTTCTGCTTCAATTCCTTTATCTATAAACAGTTTGATTGTTGTCTCCACCTCAGGCAATTGTGAGAATAAAATGAGTAGCACTTGTAAAATGCTCACCATATTACCTACACACTAAGCAATAAATGATAGCTCATTATTATGAGAGTTCAAGAAAGGCATTAACAATAAATGTTAGCTCATACCATTATTTACTTCTTCCTATAATTAATTTCTAGCTCCCAAGCTTTTCAAGGACCTTGGCTCGGACCTAATCCTTTAAATTACACCTCACTTCCTCCTCCTGTCCTCAGTTACCACTGAAAAATAAAATGTCCCTTCCCTCATTCAGCTAGTTCATTTTGGGATCTATGAAAATTTGAGAGGAGAAAGCCAGGTGAGGACTACCTCACGAATGGGAAGCCATTCTGTCATTGGTTTGCTCTACCTGAGGAAAAAAAAAATTCACTTGAAATATCTGCTCTGAAAAATGAGGTGGAAAAAGAGAATCTCCTTTATTATTTGAGTGTTTTATTTTACCTAGTGAGTATTAAGATTCCTTAAACTGGCTTCTTTTCAATGAATGTGTATGTATGACCCTAAGCCCACTAGTGGCTAATAAATTGATCCACTGATAGTTTACCCAAAGAGTTCTTTCAAGGAACAGAAGACTCTGGGCAATTTCCTTCTTCCTAACACAATTCTATCTTACTTAGTTTTATTTGGGGTTCCTGGTATGGGACACACAAAAGAAGGGAAGCAGAAGTGGGACCTCTCAAAGCTTACCTCTTTGTCCTTGAACCCCTGAGGAACTGGGAGGTAAATGTGTCCATTAGCTTCACCAGATTAGAGCTATGTTCAAATCACCATCAACTGTTTAAATTGCAGTGAAGCTCCAAATAAGGCGAAGAGAAGGGTACTGAAAATAAATTTGGCAAGAGGAAGTTCCACTTCACTTTATCATCCTTTTCCCAAAAAAGCCTTAGGAATGGGAGGTGGAATGAAAAGTAGGTATAAGGGCACACAAGTCACATGTGATTTTCCCAGCACCCCAACCTGAGCAGGTGGAGTATTCTGAAGAGGGCTGAGGTGGCAGATGGCCCAGCTGTAGCCGTTTGCCCCACGAAACAAGCTGACAAGTCCTTTCTACAGTCTTCCGTGTCAACACTTGTCTCCTCTCACTAACTGCTCCAGGGTGCTACGTGTGGGGCAAGGAGAGCACTCACACAGGGAGGCTGTTCTGCTGTGAGGCATCTCCTTCCACTGTCCCAGAAGCTGTGCCTGGGGTTTAAGGTGCAGCTGGCCACTGGCCATCCTCCTCTCTGCTCAAGGTTTGGAGTGGAGCTGGAAATGATGGCAAGTGGAGAGCCTGTCCCATTGTCTTTTCTGTCTTTCTGAGAGCTTTGCTGAGAAATGGGAAGTCCACGGATATAAGCTTACAGTAGCAGACTGACAGGGAAGAAAAGTATGGAATGGATTGTGGGGGGAGGGTTCACTTGTCTCTGAACGGCTAGCAGGCAGATTTCTGAAGAGCACTCATTTCCTTGAGGTCTCTGCTCATCAGCCACTCAGTAACTGTACTATCATTCTCATCACCACCTGACATATGCATGCATGAACTTGCTTACCTGGCAACCCCAGCCAGAGTGTAGCCCCCCACATAGAACCGAGGCTGCTTTGTTCACTGCTTTCTCGCAGCACCTAAGACAATGCCTGCATTATAGCAGGTGTTCAGTAGACAACTACTGAGTGTATGGGTCAGTCTGTTGCCACTGTTACATAGTGTGCGTACTAGACTCCTGGAAACAGAAAAGGATGCCCGACATCAACTTCACAAAAGTCCAATCTCATTTCCACAAATGAGGAAACTGAGCCTCAGATTTGGTTTGCTCCAAATCTCACTGAGCCCAGAAGAGCAAACTGAGGCTCAGTGGACCACTGCCCAGCCCGTCCTTTGTGAACATAGACAATTTGGCTGAAAACAATGACGTAGGACAGGGCGATGGAGAGAAACTGGACAGACTTTCCCGGACAATCCTGGGACATTGCCCTTAGGCAAAGGGGAGCACTGATCCCAGAGAAACAGAATGAATGAGGATGAATAGCAGCCACCGTACCCGTGTCAGACAGGCTGCACACCCGGGGATGGCCATGCAATACAGCAGATGGCCACACTGAGATGGGACAGCCGGCGGCAGGGGTCCGAGGTGAGTGCCCCAGTGAGGACCATCACAGTAAGTTGAGTGCCAGAACACAAGGAGGAGGAACTACACTTGGATTTAGGTGTTGTGCTTCCCAACTCAAAAATGAGCCACCACCAAGTGGTCTCAAGCTGGTTCATGATTGCCTAAGGACATATGATGGAGATCATGTCTTAGCCTTCAGCAACCACACAACCATATTGCCAAGGACTGTCTACACCTGCACATAAGAGAGGGTGCTTGCTTTGTAAACAGGAGTATCCCACTCTCAATTCACTCAGTTCAGAACTATGTAGGTCCAAACAATGCTGGGGCTCAGTCAGTAGGACCATTTATCACACAAAATAGTGCCCTCCAAATTAGCACTTGTAACCAATTATGGCAATATTTGGCTTCTAACTAATCACTTATTGTTTTATTTTACATTTTCAGCATAAAGTTCTGAAAAAAATAATAAGCTTCATTTGGGAAATATTTTTTAAATGTCAGAGAGATATCAAGGTGTTCTACAGGCAATTGACTAAATTGTCTAAAGACGTTCATATTAACTGGGGTACAGATGAAGACGGGAAAGTCACCCGTATTGTATAGACGGTGTTTGAAGACATAGATATATAAGAGGGCCTGGAGGAAGCTTTTAAGAGAAGAGGGGAGCCAAGAACTGAACTGTGAGGGATACCAACATTTGAGAGATGGACGAAGAAAGGAACGAAATCAAAGAATTGCCAGAAGAAAACAAAAGTGTGCTGTTTCTATGGATGAAGATGGAAAGAATGTCTTAAGAAGAAAGGAATGGCCAACAGTGTGACTCCTATTTACAAATGTATTCATTCAACAATATTTATTGAGTATCTACTATGTACAGAGATCATTCTAAGCACCAGGAGTTCAATAGAGAATAAGGCAGATAGTTCTTCCTCTCGTGGAGTTTGTGACCTAGTGGAAATTCATACAAATCAAGTCAGATAAGGAAGGAATGAAAATCGTCGTCAAGTGTGGTCATTGGGTAGGTGGTCACTGGAAAATTCCGGGAAGGCATGGAGAAATGGAAACAGTCAGAGGGGTTTGGGGATATACAAGAACTGGGACAGCAATAAGACAGGACTATTCCGGCTGGTTATTAAGAATATTTGGGGGTGTGGGTAGGGGAGAAAGAGCCAGCAGAGAGAGGAACCAAAGACCCGGGAAAGAAGATAAAAACACACAGAACAAATTTATAAACACATGCATGGGTAAATATAGCTTGTTGTGGTGCAAATTCTACTCCAAGAACAGGAAGGAGGTTGAATTTGGCACCCATTCCCTGAGTGCCTTATTACATGTTGAGCACTCTGCTAGATTCAGGAGGATACTCCTTGATTCTAAGGACCTCTCAGTCCAGTACAATAACTGAACGAGAGTAAGTAAAATGATAGTCATTAGGTATTGAGTGAGACACTGTTCTCAGCACTTACAGGGCATATCACACGTAATCTTCCTAGCAAACCATGCAGGAAGGATGATCACTGTCAAAGCGGGGGCTTTGACAGATGATGCCACTGAGGGACAGAAAGGTGAAGTACCTGGCCCTAGAGACAGTGGGTGAATAATGGAGTCAGCAATCGAACAAGACAGCTCAAGCCCAGAGCCTGAGCTCTTACCAACAGAAGTTAATCTTACTTGCTTTTGTTTGCCCCCATGCAACACTTCCCCTGACATAATGTCTCTTTTCAGGTTAGGTGGCTACTTGTCAACACCTAGGCCCTCCAAGTCAAGCTGCTGGTGCATCTGGAAAGTGAGTTCAAAATGAATGTTTGTCTTACTTTCGCAAACTCAGTGTGACAAACGAATTACCTGCTTTGAGAAGATGAGCACACGGCCTGCTGGGGATTATTGTTTGACCTGAAGGGCTGGCACCTGGCAAGCTCTTCTCTGCTTTCCAAAACCTTGAAGATCTTGGAAGGCTCTAGTCACTCTTTCAAAGAGAAAGTCTCTCAAGACCTTCAGAATAATTTGACTCTAGCCCCACCTGACTCAACCCAGATGAAAATAGTGGGGTATAGAGAGATGCAATAAAGCAAGCCATAGGAAACATACAGAAATGGGATAAATGGGGTGGAAGACTTTAAGGGTGTCTTATTCTCCAGAGAACATCGGATTTAAGAAGAAAATGAAAATAAAGTCCCGGAGGACACAAACCATTACAATCAATCAAGAAACAGCCCAAATATTTAGATGAACAAGCCTAAAACTAGTAATATAGTCCACTCAAGCAACCCCAATAAATCCCACTAGCAATTTTTTTTTAAAAAATTGACAAAAGAATTCTAAAGTTAATTTGAGAAAAAAGAAAACCTTTAAAAAGAAAATAATGCTGGGGGGCAGGGTGGGGGTGGTAGAGAAAGAGAAACTTGTCCTACCAGACTAGAAGCTATGCTATAATCAAGCTATGATAACCAAAATGTTGGGGTTCTGGGGCAGAAGTAGGCTGACAGATCAACGGAACAGAAAAAGGCCCTGAGAAAGACACCAGCGTACAGAGGAATTTAGCATATCGTTAAGCTGTCATTTTGAATCGGTAGAGAAATGAAAAATTTTCCAATAAATGGTGTTAGGACAACTAGCTAGCAGTTTGAATAAAATTTAATTTAGATTCTTACCATGGGTCTTATTCTAAAATAAATTCAGGATGGGTTAATTATTTAAATGTAAATCGAATGCATAAAAACACTAGAAGAAAATTTAGGTGGATATTTTTACAATTCTGATGTGAAGAATTTTCTAATCATGTCGTCAGAATGAGAAACCATGAAGGATAAATTTGAATACGTAAGAATTCAAAACATTTGGATGGCAAAACCCACTGTCACCCACATTAAAAGAGAAAAAAAAATTAATAAAACATATGGCACGGCCTCTTTGACAGGAGACTGAGAAAAATAAGATGCTCATGCTTCTCTGGTGAAGTACAGTTTCAAGAAACACTTCCTGAGGACACTCTCAGTCTTAGGTGCCAAGGACACAGCTAAGCAGGGAGATGAGGTTCCTGCTCTCACTGAGCTTATGATCCAGTGATGAGTGAGGCAGATAGGAAAAAAAAAAACGTCTTTCATGTCACGCAGAGATGAGCAGTATGATTAAAATGAAGCCCTGTGCGCCTGAGAGATTAGTTGGGGCTGGTGAGGAGCAGGGGGTCAGGGAAGGTCATTTTGAGGAAGTAATCATTAACTGAGGTCCAAAGGACAACAAGGAGCAACAGAAAACTGGGGCAAAGGTTTTCCGAATGGGGAAGCAGCCAGTGCGAGGCATGGCATGACAGAGGGAGAACCAGGCCTGTGTGGGGCCGGGGAGGGGGAGGTGAGAGAAAACCTGTGGCCACAGTGCATGTCGTTGGGGCAAAAGGGAGCCCAGTGGGAGTAGAGGCTGAGGACCGGGTGCAGGCTGCAGGTCACAGCTCTGTAAGTGGTGTTACCTTTTATTTGACATGTGAGGGAAGCCACTGGACCTTTGAAGTAGGGCACTGACTTCTGGTTCCCTGAAGGAAGACTCTGCTGCCTCGAATTGCTTGGAGATTTCCACCAGAGTCTACCAAAGCCAGGGCACATGGTGAAGTCCTAGGCATGTTCCCCTCAAAATCAAATCACAACATGAGAAGAATCCATTCAAAACAGCAGAATGGAAATGCCAGTCTCCAAAAGGTTCCACCAGGTATCATATATAAAGAATCGCAGGGCTCCTAACCAATTCGGAGGTACATCTACTATCTTCAGCCGTTTGCACTTTTTTCCACTTCGTTTTTTCATATTTTTTTAGGCTTTGCCAACCCAGCCCAGTTAAAGACCAATTTTATATATACGTTCTGGTTCAGAATCTGAGCTCTTTTTGAAAGCTCATTAATTTATAAGCAGGTACCTGAGCTTTATTATTTTTTTAACTTCAGTTGTCATGAATATGTGAAAAGTCACCGGAAGCCCAGCTCTTTCATTTCTTGAATTAACCAAGAAAAATCATGTACCTTTCAGAAAGAGCTCACATGTGACTGGGGAAGAGACTTGTATAGAAATGGACGGAAGCATCTGCATTTGTGTGCACACATGAGTGTGGGGGGGTGGAGATGTGCAGAGGACCACGACACGCACCCCAGGTGACAGACACCTACAGGTAGCCCAAATTCAAATCCAGTTCCTCATAACCCAGCTCTGACTTCATCCCCCTGTCTCCCACTCAAGAAAGTAGTTCTGGGCACCTGGGTGGCTCAGTCACTAAGGGTTGGAGTCTTGATTTCAGCTCAAGTCATGCTCTCAGGGTCCTGAGATTGAGCCGAGTCAGCCTCCGCGCTCAGTGGGGAGTCTGCTTGAAGATTCTCTCCTTCGCCCCCCCCCATGCACACGCATGCATGCTCGCTCACTCGCTCTCTTGGGGGGGCGGCGGAGAGAAAGAAAGCAGTTCTGTGAATTGAGGGAGAAAGGCAGATGACTATGTTGAAATATCAGCAGACGAGATGATCCCACTCTGCTATTTGCCCTGAATCATAACATGATAGAATTCAATTCAAAATTCAAAAGGGACATGAAATTGTTTTTTCCAGCAAGCATAGGCCCCAAAGACAGAAAAACCTGAAATATGCTGTGTGGTAGTAAAACAAAAGTTACTCTAAACTGTAATGAGTAGAAACAACAGGTAATTCATCGGTAGAAATGAATGATAGTTCGGAAAATCATCATCCCATGAACTGATTTCAGGCAAATAGGTCTGCTCCACTCGGGTGTGTGTACTACTATTTCAGCTCATCCTACGCACTTACTGAGCCTTCCCTCTTGCGCTGAGACAATGCAAGGTTGTCAGACCCGATCCCTGAGACTAAAGGAGAGTGGGGCACATCTCCTGCTAAGTTTCTGGAGCCCACGAAGGGAGCACTGCTGCCAGAACCACGACCTGAGCAGCACCCCCTCCACGTGAGCTCAGATCATTTGTTTTACTTAGAGTGTAAAAAAAAATACCATGTTGCTAAATCATGGTTTTTACTTATTTGAAATGATATCACAGCAAAGCTATTTTACTATTACAGAAGTTCAGAATATATAAAGAAAGTAGACAGGGGCGCCTGGATGGCTCAGTCGGTTAAGCGTCTGCCTTCAGCTCAGGTCATGATCTCAGGGTCCTGGGATCAAGTCCCGCATCGGGCTCCCTGCTCAGTGGGGAGCCTGCTTCTCCCTCTCCCACTGCCCCTCCCCCCTGCCCATACTGCCCCTCTCTCTCTCCCAAATAAATAAAATCTTTTAAAAGAAAAAAAAAAGAGAGCGTTTTAGAAAAAAAAATAACAAAAATCATATTTTAGTTTTTAACATCTTCATTCTTGTTAAGTGAAACACTGGTTCTGGAAGCTGCTTTTTTTTCTATATTTTTCTAAAACTTCTTTTCAGAGGAGCCCTCTCTGTTCCTCTGTACCACATTCATTCGACCAACCTCAAGTATCTGCCATGTGCCAGCTAAGTTTGACCCAGTCCATGGCTCAGAGTTCCTGTTTCCTTGGGTTCTGTCAGCACTGAGACCAGCAAGTACAGCGGCAGGTGTAATTACCGCAGTGACGGATGTTCTCCAGCACTCCGGCAGGGTACAGAGGATTAGTAGATCCTACCCTCTCTCTCATGGAACCTTCTCTTTTCCTTTCAAAGTACAAAGTGAAAGGCATCTTCAGTTAAACCTGATTGCCATGATTACGCTGATTCCGGTGAAGTGAGCTACCAGGCAGGAAATGACGCTAATGGCTAGAATGTCTGACCCCATGGGGGCTGATGCGTAATCCAACAAACTCATTAGCATCAAAGTAAAATAATCAAACCGATTAAGTAACCCATCAGGCACGAAGCAAGTGAGAAAAGGGGAAAAAAGGAGCATATGCTCTGGCAGCAGGCCTGAACTTCTGACTCAACACACAAAAACAGACAAACACAGAACAACAGAGGCGCGAACTTCTACACACAGGCATGCTCGCACTATCAGTCACATACACAAACGTTCACACCACACACTCAGACACACTCGTGTATGTATCGAAGGGGAGCAGAATATGCCACCCCAAAATCTGTTTCTTTGGCATAAGGATTATTTGGGGCTGGTTATCTCTTTTAAGATTTTATTTATTTATTTATTTATTTGTTTATTTATTTGAGGGAGAGAGAGAGAGAGACAGCATGAGCGGGAGGGAGAGAGAGGGAGAGAGAGACTCTCAAGCAGACTCCATGCTGAGGGTGAATCCCAGAAACCTGAGATCATGACCTGAGCCGGAACCGAGAGTCAGATGCTTAACTGACTGAGCCACCCAGGCGTCCCTGGGGCTGGTTATTTTTAAGAAACAGCAGACACGGGAGAAGCTCTGAAAAATGAATACCCTTTTGTGAGACGTTTACATTTATGAGGGAAATCTCCGTTTGTGAGAGCATCTCCCTCTTGGTTCCAGGAAAAGGAGGATAAGTACATCTCTAGAAACTCTCAGCAATGGAGAAAATGAGGACTTAGATCTTCAAAACAGCCTCACCCCCGTTTACTGGTCACCTCCCCTGACTGGCCTGCCCCCACCATCTTCTCTTGTCTTTAGCTGGGCATGGTACATAAGGTGATGGTGTGGGCTGTTTCTGGGAGTTAGTCCGTCTTCCTGGGGTTCTCCCATGCCTATGGGAGGTGTACATGATATTAAACTTCCGTTTGTTTTTCTCCTGTTAAACTGTCTTTTTGTTACAGGGGGTCTCAGCCAAGAATCTAGAAGCGTAGAGGGAAAATTAATATTCCTTCTCTGCAATGCACACCAGCAACACACACAGACACAGGCACTTCACACACTCACACTCATACACCAACTCATGTATATACACCAACACGCACAACCTCACACGCTCCCTACCTGACAAAGGGAAAACAAAACTCTCCGGATGTGGAGATAGAGTTCCTCATGACGGGAACTGCAAATATGTCCTTTTCTTTCTATTGCTAACCTCCTCATCCCTCCTAAAGATGCGCAGAAGTACAGAATGGGACACCCCCCAAAGGCAGTCCGCAGGGGTGGGTGGGGAGCGGGGGTGCCTTTGCTTGCTCCAGGCAAAGCACTTCTGTGAAAGAATTTCAGCATGAAATGGAGATTCTCACACACGTATCCTCAGAAAATCGGAACTTTAAGAGCTGAGAGATTGCTTTCCATTAAATGCATGCTTGACAGGAGACCAAGACTTATCTCCTGACAGATGAACATCTGTCAAGAATCTCTCCCCATCCTCAAGCCAACAAATTTACTGCTTCACGCCTGACTGGATTTCCCCTCTTTGCACTCCTTGCCCCTAAATATACAGCCCACCCCAAACCTCTCCACAGACTCGCCTCCTGCTTGCTCCAGCCTGCATTTCCTGAATTGTAGTTCCTCTGTTACTTCCAAATAAGCCCAATTTTTGGTCATTTGAGCTGGCCTCAGTTTACCTCTGTATTTAGATTGACACTTTTTTTGTCTGCAAGTAAACCTCAGCCTGACAGCCATAGTGATGTCATCTTTGATTTCTGGAACACTTCTCTTCTGAAAAATCAAAGCTTTCACACTGACCAGTTCATTTGTTCACTACGCTATAGTATTATTGCTTGACTTTTGCAGGCAGGGAGCACTAAAGTGGTTTCCCCAATGTCACATGCAGACGATGGAGACGAGCAGTGAACTCTGGTCTCCTAGATGCTAGTGCTCGTTTTTTTGTTTTTTGTTTTTTGGATTTTTTTAAGTTTTTATTCATTCATTTGAGAAATAGAGAGAAAGCCCAGAGGGAGAGTTAGAGGGCGAAGCAGCCTCCCTACCAAGCAGAGAGCCCGATGCGGGGCTCCATCCCAGGACCCGAGCCAAAGGTTGATCCTTAACTGACTGATCCACCCAGGTGCCCCGATGCTGGTGCTCTTTCTGGAGATTCTACCCTGACTGTAGCCAAGCGCTTCCAGACAAAAAGAGAGAAAAGGGAGTAAAGGGAGTGATGATCCAAGCGAGAGTCTCTACCTTAATCAAATGATGTTGAGTCTCCTCTTAGAAGAAAAATTGATGAGAATCTGTCATCCCAATGGCTTATTCCTGGATCTGAACAGTTCTCCAAGTATGAAAACCTCTATGGTACCAAACGTTAGCATCACTTGCCCTAAATATGTAAGAGAAATAACCCATGGCTCAGTTGCAGGGGAACATAAGGATGGGACCCTGTTTGGATTGGGAAAATCCCAAGTAGGAGTATCTGGAAGGGCCAGTGACAAAACCCAGAGATGGGCTCCAACATGTCCACACCTACTGCTCTTCCCACCCACACTACACACTGCCTGGTCTGATACTGTAACTCTACTTTAGCGCACTTTATGGTCAGAAATTTGGGAAGCCCCTGCCCTGTGTCTAGACAAAAAATAATTCAGAAGTATTTAGTGAGCACCTCCTACATACACCACACTATTCCCTGTATCAGGGGAGAGTGTCAAAGATAAAAGGAGACAGTCCCTAATCCAAAGAAATATCTAAGCTTGCTGAAAGATTAGCCACCATTAGCCAATCTAAGTTGTACATTCAGGAAGAGAAGAGGGAAACCCAGAAGTACCAGAGAAGTCATGAAATGCTTCATGAAAGAATAGGACTGAGTTGGACCCCAATACCTCGTTCTTAAGTTAAGCCTGGGTCCCCCGCCTGCAGGGGCAGCACACGATGGTGGAGTGGGTGGTTTGTGGGCTCCCTCTTCTGTGTCTGGTTTAAATCCTGATTCTGCATATGTTTGTGGCTTCAGGAAAGTCATTTAATCTCCCGGAGTCCTAGTTAACTCATCCATAAAATGAGACTAAAGGGCTAATTTGTGTCAAGGCTGCATTAGTGCCCTCCACATAGCAGGTGTTCAATCCAAGGTAATTATCATTATCCAGAGTTACTTCGATACACTGAAAGGCGAAACTTTTCCTATGTTAGCGGCAACCATCAAAATCTAGCGAATACCTCCGAACTGTATTTTTAAGGAGTAATTTCCATGGTTTGCTACACATTCGAATCACCCGGGGATCTTTAAACTACACTGACACCTGGGTCCCACCCCCACACGTTCTGATTGAGTGGGTCTGGAGTGCAATTTAGGCATGGAGATTTTTAAAAGCTCTCCAAGTCCGGTGATGCTGATGTTCAGCAAAGTTTGGAACCATGCTATATATGGTGGAATTCTACCTCCTGTTCCACAGGGGGCTACCGGTGCAGCAGACCAAGAATCAGGCGTGAGGAGCACTTCTTGACATGGGTACCTTATTCCTTCTATTATCAGAGCTCTTCAGAGAAACAGGACCAATAGGATAGAGAGATATGGGTGGATAGATAGAGCAAGAAAGAGCGAGAAAGAGGGAGAGACTGCGAGACAGAGGTTTATTATAAGGACTTGGCGATGATGGAGGCTGACAAGTCCCCATATCTGCAGTTAGCAAGTTAGAAACCCAGGAGAGTTGATGATGTCATTTCGGTCTAAAGGCCAGAAAAACCATGTCCCAGCTTGAGGGTAGTCAGACAGTGAGAGTTCCCTTTTATTCTCTTATTTGTAGGAGAGTCAGACTTTTTGTTGTATTCAGGTCTTCCATTGATTGGATGAAGACTGCTCACACTGGAGAAGGCCATCTGCTTTATTAACTTCTGGGTTCGAAAGTTAGTCTCATCCAGAAACACCCTCACAGACCACATAGGATAGAGTTTGACCAAATGTGTAGGCACGTGGTTCAGTCAAGTTGGCACATAACTTTAGCTATCGTCTGCACATTGAATCCCAGGCATCCAGCACATTCCTGGGCATGTCATTTGTGTCTGGTACATTCCTACTGAATGAAGGCTGTCAACATTCACATTTCTCAGTTCTTGCTTCTCACCCATATTTCAGTGGCAAGAGGAAGAGAGGAAAATGAAGGAGAACTAACGGCCTGAAGATAAACTATGATCCAATGAGAGTCAATGGTTATTAGTTCTGATCCCTCAGAGAGAACACACACACATACCCCCAAACCAAACCAAACCAGAGAGAGAGCATTTCTAGCTTACCCCCTTCATTTTAAAGACAAGGAAACTGAGGCCCAGAGAGACCATGACTTGCCCAAAGTCACAGAGCAAAGGACCCCAGAATTTGACCATAATACCCATACGATGTAGTTTGCCAGTTGTATGATCCTGCCTGTGGTCCTGGGTGCCCCCAACATCCTAAAACCCCTCCTTGCTCTTGCTAAACCCTGCGGGATGAGCTGCTGATGGCAGAGGGTACAACTCTTGATGTCCTTCCAAATAGCAGAGCTGGCCCTCCAGGGACCATTGGTGGTTCATTGTGGCCCTGAATGTACCTGTTTTGAAAAGGAAAGCAAAATGAATGAGAGGCAGATCCATGAGCTAATTGCTTTGAGATCATTATAATCAATATCAGTTGCCCCAGGCCAAGGCTGCCTTTGCCTTCTCAGGCTGCTGACATTCTGTGCTCGGTCAGCCGGCTCCTCACTTCAAAGTGATAACATTATTGACTTTCCTCCTGTCCCATTAAGGCCACCCTCTCACCTCCCAGGGGATAGATGATGCCCATCTCGGGGTTTGCTCAGCCACGCACTCCTTAGCGGAAAAGGCTGTAAGACGAGATGCTTAATTTCGCGATTTCACACCCCAAGATTCTGTCCACAGCAGCAAAAATGCCCTTTCTCACAAATCATTCTGCCTGATTTCTCTAAATGCCCTTTTCATCCTTCTCCATATATCAAACTTTTAAACGTGGCTGAAAGATTCCCTGCCTCTTTTGTGGGCTCTGATAATGCTGGGCTTCAATCATGCACTGAGTGAGTAGCCTGCCAGTGGCTCTTGCCCCTGAGCCAAGGGGGTGTCGGGAAGATCATGGACTTTGGGGTCAGACAGAGCTGGGTTCAAATCATTGCTTCACCATTTACCAGTGCTATGACCTTGGACAGATTATCTTAACCCCATTCCAGACCTTCAAAACCTCATCTTCAAGAGAGGAATTAATACTGCCTTCCCCATCACTTTGCTGAGCTTTAAAATGAGTTCGTGTATAGGAAGCAAGCACTGAGCTCGGTGACCCATAAGCATGTCTTATCCATTCCTTTTTCTCCTGCTCCTTCTTGATAGACTGTGACCTCCCCGCAGGCAAGGCCCCCCTTTCCTCATCTCTGGGTTTCCCTAGCACCCATATATGGCATGGGGGAGCCACAGTGGATGTTTGTGGAATTGAGGACCTCAATGCAGATAAACTTTTCTGGATGATGAAATGGCATCTCAGAGCGATTACGTGGCCTCTCCCAGCCCGTGCTGCTGATAGAACTGAGTCTACTATGTTCCAGCACGTTGACACCCTATCTAATCCTTCTCTCAGTCTTGGTGCCCTCTGTTAGTTCCAAAACAATCTGAACACAACAGCCATGCCGACTTAGTGTGGTGCTTGCTGCATAACTTTCCCTCAATTAACTGGTTGCAGTCTCCGATTAATGGGAGACAGAGACTTCCACCATCGTCTGTATCGGCCCCACCTCGTTTCCTGCAGCTGCCCCAGCCTTCCAACCACACAGCTGCTCCTGGTACCAAGCAGAGGCCGCTCAGAGCCAAAAGTGCTGACATAGTCCCAGCCCAGCTCACCTCCAAGTTACCTGCACCTGGGACCCAGGGCTCGGCTTCCAGCAGCACTTGAGCTTCTGTGCAAATAACATTTCCTCAGCCAAATGCTTTCGTGTGCTTTAGAGATGAATTCTCTCTTCTGAATTCTTGTTCTGAATCTCAGCCCAGGGGCTAGGCCCTGCTACTGCTGCCAGTCTGTTGGTCTGAATTTCTAAGAGTCTCCCACCTGAGTTCTCATGATTAGCTCCACTCGCCTGCTGGGGTCCTGGGTGCTTTGCCATCTGGCAGCACCTGCTATGGTCATGATGGATAGAACTGCTCAGAGGGCTCATTTGTCCCCTTAGACTCTTCACCTCTGCCATCAACCAGGTTTGCCCCTTAGCGCCTGCCCAGGTCCCAGCCTTCACTTGCCCTCACACTGCGATGAC